ACAAATTACACAGACCTCATCTCCCTCCCTCTCTCTCTCTCAGTTTATTTACTTTATGACAGAGTTTCTCTGTGTAATAACTCTAGCTGTTAGCTACCCTGGAACTCACTCTGTAGATCAGGCTGGCCTGAAACTCACAGAGATCCTCCCACCTCCAGAAAACTGGGATTAAAGGTGGACACCACCCACCATCACCACCACCACCATAGCTGTTTTAAATTTTATGTGCATTAGTGTTTTGCCTGAATGTATATCTATGTGAGTGTTTCAGATCTTAGAGTTAAAGACAGCTGTGAGCTCCCATGTGGGTGCTGGGAATTGAACCCCAGTCCTCTGGAAGGGCAGTCAGTATTCTTAACCACTGAGCCATCTCTCCAGCTATATGAGTTGGGGGCCAGCCTGGTCTCCAGACAGACTCCAAAGCTACAGAGAAACCCTGTCTCAAAAATCAATAAGTAGGCCGGGCGTTGGTGCTGCACGCCTTTAATCCCAGCACTCGGGAGGCAGAGGCAGGTGGATCGATGTGAGTTCAAGGCCAGCCTGGTCTCCAGAGCAAGTGCCAGGATAGGCTCCAAAGCTACACAGAGAAACCCTGTCTCAAAAAAGAAAGAAACAAACAAACAAAAAAATAAATAAGTAAATAAATAAAGACAGCGGTTGAACAAAATATTATTACAAGAAACTATTCATTCTTTTTCCTTGTTTATTTTTAAGCTAGAAAAGAAAATCAACGTAGAACAATTATGGTGGAGTCTCCAAGGGAATAATAGATACCACAGATTTGAGGCCAAATCCACTCTGTATCCTAAAACATGTTTTTTTTTCAACCCTAACTGGACAAGGAAATATGAAAACAGTTTCATTTTGTTTTTTTAAACAAAAGGAAATTTAACAATCAAAAAAAAAGTTTTAAAGCCCCTCCCTTAGGGGTAAAATTTTATTTTCCTAAATTAATAGACATTTCATTTCAATGCTTTATAAGTAGGCACAAAGAATAAGAACTTCACAACCATGTCTCTCATCAGATAGAAGCTGGGAGATGACAAGGAGGAAAGAAATGATAAATCTTAAAAAATGCAAATGACAGGGTTTTGGGGGGGTGGGGAGGGCTAGCGATCAACCTTAGACTGCACAATCTATAAGGACACTGATAAGACAGACAGACTGAATTTGTCCTTGAGTTCACAAGGGAACGCCTGCTTGTGAAAGAGAAAGGAAAGCAAAGTTTGGTATCATGTGCAGTTGCATTTAGACCTAAGGGAAGACTGCCCATATGAATGTCTTGGCAGCTCTCCACTGTGGCTTTACTGTGTGTACATTTCAACCTTCCCCATTTCCAATACACCCTGTCTACAGCTTAAACACATGCAGCAGCTGCCAGTGGTATCCTTCAACTCCTGATGTCCCCAGGAGTGCCTCTGCCTCACAGAGCCCCCGCTTGCCAAGGGTTAGCCACATCCCGACACATTGGAAGAAGTCAGTTGGGCCTCAGGACTCCTGCTATTGGGCAGAACCCTCTCGCTGGACGGAACACCGGAGCTGTGGGAAACCCAGAAACAAAGTGCTCAGCCGGGAACTGCAGCAGAGAGGTACCTCTACCGGTCAGGACCTACCAACTACCGAGAGATCAAAGAGTCCTCCCCACCCCTCCACACCAAATTCCATAGCTGGGAAAAGTGGGCCCCTCCCCCAGACCTTACTCCAAGTAAATTTTATTTGCTACTGTTTCTCAAGTGGGAATGAATCACTAGTGAGTTAATGAATGCAGTTGTGGCAGCACCAGTGAATTAATGAATGCAGTAACGCCGGCAGATTTGGAAACCACCTCCCCATACGTAAGAATGTACTGTAGTCATTGCCAGTAGAAAGATACAACTTGGTTTTGCATCTACCTGGAAGAGGACATTAGGAAACGATAGTCCCTCTCCTCCACATACATGCCTCCCCTCCCATCCTACCTAAAACCCAGGGCATTGTGAAGTTTATTTTTAATTTTAACAAATCACATTTTAAATTGGTTCCCAAAGGAACCTTGCCTTTCTTGTTCTTTTCAGATTGATCCAAGAAATGCTACGTCAATGTCTGAGAAATAGATACAAAAACAAGCTCTCTTTTAATTTTGTCTTTGAATCAGTACCCGAATAATGACCAGAAGCAAAAATCCACCGGTGCGTCAGCAAGCAGGATGCTCGGCGCTTCAGCTCCATCCGTCTTCCCCTCGCAGCCCCTGCAGCTCCAGGCCGCTAGAGCAGATAAATAATGTAGGACAGAACCACCAGCCCTATGATGGCAAAGAACATGAGGATGAAAATATCCAGCATGGTGCAATACTAAGCAGGGGAGTCGCCTGGATTCCGGGGAAATGAGAGCTGCAAGCGTGGAGGTCGGTCAGCGCAGAGAAATGGCTCCTATTCCCTCCCCCCTTCCTGGTCCCTCCCCCTCCCAGGGACCTGAGGCTAAGGGATGCTGCAACTCCATCAGCAGCTTACAGTCAGCCAATCACAAAGCCCACGGTGGGTAACCAGGGAACAGCTTCTTTTAGACCAGGCAAAACTGGAGAGGTTCAATTTCTTCCCAGGAAGCCAGCCCCGCCCCTGTGTGTGGAACCGCTTTCTATTTAGATACAGTTTCTGCACTGAGTGGGCTGCTCCGGGAGGTGTGAGTGGAGGATCTCTACAGACCCCTTAGGGACGCATTCTCCTGCCGGCCTTCTTCCTTTTTCCTCTTACACCTCTGGCAATTTCTCTCTAAAAGTAATTGTTACCAGTTGTGTGGGCCATCGGCTAGTTCAAAGGAGAACACGGTCGAAGGTCTCATGTGGTCTCAGAGGGCATCCCTGGTGTGGACACAAGTTTTACGCTGTGCCAGGCATTGCACACATGGGGTAATTTCAACCTGTCTGCAGTCTGTTATAGCCTAGGCTCAGAGGTGGTCATGAGCTTGCTCGCCTCACAGCTTGTCAATAGGGGGCAGGACTCAAAGCAAGGCTCTCTTCTAAGTCCATATTCTCTCTCTCTCTCTCTCTCTCTCTCTCTCTCTCTCTCTCTCTCTCTCGACGGGTTTCTTTGTGTAACAGTCCTTGGCTGACCTGGAACTCGCTTTGTAGATCCCCCAGAGTGCTGATATTAATTAAAGATCTGTGCCCCCCCCCCACACACACACCTTAAATCCATATTCCTTTTGAGTCCACCTCACACTGGCTTGCCTTGTTGGTCTGGGAGATCTGAGAGCCTAAGTTCATTTGTGTTACATGAGGTCTCTCCTCCAACCTTTCTGTCTGTCACTGCCCATACTTGCTTTGTCTTTTCAGAAAGTTTAGCCCAGTGTCATTCCCCTGCGCCCACTCCTGGATGGTCAGTGTCTAGGAATGCAGATTATGTACTTTTTGTTGTTTTATTGTTTTGAGAAAATCTCACGTAGCCCAGGCTGGCCTTCATTGGATTCTCCTGCCTCTACCTCTTGACCTCCTGAGTATTGAGATTACAGCCAGCTGTCAAGTGGTTTCTTCTGAGGGAGAAAAGATGGGTGTCTTATTAAAAGTCAGTGACATCAGAACCAACAATAGGCTCAGACAGTACAGGTGCCTTGCACAAAATCTGACAACCTGAGTTCAATCCCTGAGCCCCACATGGTGGACAGAACTGACTCCTGTAAATTGTCCTGTGATGTCACACACGCCCTGTGGTACAAACACATAAACACACTTGCACATGGACACACAATAAATAAAAAACAATGTTAAAAACCACACACACCCCAATTGATTTGATTTCTGCTGTGTGTGCTCCAACTGTTTATTATTAAAAGAAAAAAAATTCCTGTAGGCCACCTGAGCCTTAGCATCCTTAGCCTCACCCCAAATAGCTCAGGAACTTAGGCCACTCCCAGAAGAGATGCCTTCCTTGAGCAGGCAGCCCAGCAGGTGAGAAGTGAAGCTTCCAAGAAGGGACTGGCAGCAAGGAAGACAGGCACATCACCAGGTGGGCAGGCTCTTCTGCTGCTATTGGGAACTATAAGCTGCCAGCTCCTTCAGGGACAGTGTCAGAAACTGCCTTTCTGGGAACTCAGCACTGCCTGGAGCACTCCCCACACCTGGAGCACTCCCCATTCTCCTGTTACATTTAGCTCTTTGCCTCTCACCTGCTGTTCCCCTGGGGCCAGAGAATACTTTCATGTATAGCCCCAGTGGGACAAAAGGTATCCGGTCAGTCAAAGGATGGATAAGGCTAGGTGTTAGCTCTTCAGAGCTAGGCCAGTTGTCATTCAGCAGGTGTTTAGGGCTAGTTGCTACCACAGCGGTGGCATCAGTCCAGCAACATATGGCTACACAGGAGCCAGGGCCCAGGAGTGTTGTATCGCCTACCACAGACCCACCGAACAAAAAAGGGGGCTGTAGTGCCTGCAATCAAGCTGGCTGGGTTCAATCCATCACATGGCTGGGAGGAGATGGGAGAGGAAAGTGGGAAGTCTGCCTTGTGTTGCCTGCCAGGCCACCCTATGGAGAGTTTATCCAGTATCTGCAGCACTGGAAACTGTCCTAGTTGCTATCATTTTACAATTCAAACGTGGCAGTGGTATACACTGTGCTAGAACATGCCTGGGCTGAGCTCACTGGCTGGCTTGAACATTTGTAGAGCAGCCTGCTTGTAGCCAGAGACCAGGAACTTGAATGAGACCCCTGGCAGTCTCTGAGCACCCTGGGCTAGGAGGGAGAAGACGCTTAGCGGAAGACGGGGAGCAGTGTGAGGGGCCTCAGAACTAAGGGAATGCCAGCCTTGTGTGGTGGCAGAATTGTCACTGGTAGAAGCCATTGGAGGGCTGGAGTATGTCCTCAAGGAGGAAGCGGATGTTGAAGCATGATGAAGAGCCAGCTACCCTTTGGTTTCCAGGTCAGTCCTCCCTTTGAGGGGGTAACTAGGCTCACCGTGGGTGACAGATCAATGTCCCCTGGCAGAGAGGACACACACAGAAGTTACTTCAGAGCCAAAGAGGAAGCCCAGTCCGCAGGTAAAAATTAGACTTTTATTTGCGTCACCAGGATAAAGATTCACTTTGTGGTTCAAGTCAATGTTCAGAATCATAACAGGCCAGAAAGAACTGATCCCGAGTGCAAGGCCAGGAGGGAGGGGACCAAACAGACCAAAGAAAGATGACAACCCCATATAAAAGATGAGTGGGCGGCTTCACACACAGACACACACACACACACACATACCACACACACAGATGGAATATCAGACAGAGGCGAATTTCACAGGGTCACTTCTGTTTCCTTTTAAATACAGGCTTTGTGGGGTGGTACTTTTTGTCTTGTGTCCAGCTATTAACAAATAAAATGCTCCCTGGAGGGACATGAGGGCGGGAAAACAGGAAGCAGTGCGGGGAGAATTCATACCCCTCACCACGGGGCTTCTTGCATTGCAGGATTGGCCCACAAAAGTTAAGTTCACAGTCTAGCCAAGGTGCCTTTTTTTTCCTGGGTTTTGATTGGCTGAAAGACCTTTACAAAGGAAGAGACCATGGGCTTGGGGATCCTGTGCTCTTCTAGGGGTGGATGCTTCTGGAAAAGAATATGGACTCCAGCTGGGGCCCTCAGCACCAATAGATGGATCCTCTTCCCTCTGTGGGTGTGTGAGCGTCTCCCCCATTTCTAGAGCAGGGGAAGGGAGGTTCAGGCTGTGGCACCTCCCAAGCACAGGCCCTACAAGAGTGACTTCTGGTCCCCAAAACTGCATTGTGCTTTGAGATCAAGAGGAAATGGAGTAGACTGGCACCTCCCCAGGGGCTCCTGGTATGCCTCCACAGCGTTCTCCCCATGCCACACACAGGAAAGGGGACTGGCCAGGCAGGAGGGTGGTTCCTCTAGCAAGTCCTTGCACGTTGTCTTGACCACTGCATTGCTGACCTGACCAGTGCCTTCAGGTTCGAACCTCACCCGAAGCAGGGTCTGTGTGCAAAGGGACCTGATATGAGACTCAGAGTGAAGATGAGAGTCGGGGGACCCAGGAGAGGTGTCAAGAAAACTCAGAGATGAATGAAGTGACGACTGTCCCAGGCCCCAGGTGCAAAGGAGGAACCTGAGTTTAGCACCGATTTAGAGATGGTGCCGCCAGCTTTGGAGTCCTGGACTCTCTTCCCTGCTCCAAGGACAGGAGAGCCCCAAGGGAGCTACCACAGTGTGGGTGACTTGGTCCTACCCTACTCTGTAGCCTCAGACACAAGGACAGGAAAGCCTTCTCCCACCTTCCCAGTGAGTGAGCAAAAGGATGGGGCCTCCTATGAGTCCAGGACTGTTTTCATTTTCTGACTTCCCAAGCTCCAGGCCCCATCCAGCCTTGTCGTAGGGAGGGAAGGCCATAGGACCTCTTCCCAGGGGAGTAGAAAGGAACAGCTCAGTTAACTCAAGTGACAGAGGCATCCCTTGCTCTACCCTTCACAGCAGGCTCCCAGCCTGGGAGATAAATAGAGTCCCTGGAGCTGGGGAACTCGGGCAGAAATAGGCCCGGGGAGAACACCCTGTTCCCTCCTTCCCGCTGCTGCCCCTAAAACTAAGGCAAGAACTTGACCCAAGCTGTGCTTCCTGAGGAGCTCTTTGGCCATCCTAGGTTTGTGTGGGCAGGACGGCACACCCAGCATGTAAAGGAACACACACAGGATCAGGAGGGTGGACTAGCAGAAAGGTAAACTCATCACATTGGTCCCTACATAACTGAGGCTTCAATACCTACCCCCTGGGAATGTGTGGAACCCCACCTGGAGGTATGAGGAGTATGGAGCTCACCCCAACCTTAGGATAGAGTGATAGGAGAGCTAGACAGGAAATGAAGCTGGGAGCTAACCAATCCCCCCTTCCCCAAGACAGGATCTCATCTGGCTGTCCTGGAATTCATGATATAGACCAGGCTAGCCTTGAATTCAGAGATCTGTTTGTCTCTGAATCCCAAATTAAAGGTATGTGCCACTATGCCTGGCCTAACCAATCTCTTTAATGGGTCTCCTATTATTTCAGCCCAGCCCTGTGAGCCCACCCTCCCCAGAACAGTCCTGCCCTCCCCAGAGTGCCCAGCCTGTTCCATCCAGAGAGAAAAATCAATCAGTCGGTTGGTCCAAGGGAAAACCCGCCAGAGGAAGGAGCCTGAGACAGTGGCAGAACAAGGCTTGGGTTGGCAAAAGGAGCTGGAGGAGGGGCAGGGATGAAGAAGCAGTGGCGGATCTTAAAAGACAGAGACACTGAAGTGTGGATGGGTCAGGCCCCAGGACAGACGTGATGCCATGGAATGCATTGAAGACAGTGGGTGGGGCAGCACGGGGCTCAGATGGCCTCCACGTAGTTGGCTGGCAGCATCCCTGTGTCGCCAGTGCGCTCCACGGTCCCATACATCCAGCCATCATCGATTTGCTGCACATTGACGATGGTGTCCCCATCCTGGAAGGAGACCTCGTCCTCGTCAGCAGCACTGTAGTCATACACTGCGCGGTACCGTTTCTGGGGAGCACAGTCAATAGTCAGCCTGGGTATTGGATGTAGGCTCTCCCATACCCAGGCAAGTGCTCTGCCAAATGACTCCCAGGCCCCTTGTTTTCTCTCTACCTCTTGGGAACCTCGGGAGGACAATGAGCCAGAAGATAGGGTTTGGGATGGGCTCTGCCATAGAGTATCTTGGACCTGTTTCTACAGGTTGGCCTTAAAGTCCCATAGGTTCAACACCAAGACAGTGGTTTTAAAATGTGATATGCCAGCCAGACGCATTCCTTTAATCCCGGCACCCAGAATGGAGATCAGCCTAGTGCACCCAAGTGGGATGTATTCCAGAACATCAAGGCCAGCACGTTCATACCAAGGACTGTCAAGCCTCTTACTGTTGCTCATTTTCTCACCCAGAAAAAACTGGATGAGTCCTACCGTAGGCCTGGCTCAAGATGGCAGCACAAGACTACCTTCTGCCCACACAGGGACACAAAAGCTAGCAGTACATAATCGTTCCCTAAGGGAAAGAACAGGACCACAAAGTCCCGTGCATATTAGGCAAGTGCTCTACCACTGAGCTATATCCTTAATCTTTATCTCGCGTGTGTGTGTGTGGGGGGTGTGGGTGTGGGTGTGCGCGCACACGCCCATACACAGGTGCATACAGCTGTGACCCCTCTCACCCAAGGGTTTCTCCATTCCAGACAGATACTTACCCCGCCACCACCAGGGGCACTACGCTGTATGGAGACAGGGGCTGCAGGTTCCTTGTAGCCACCATAGGACTGAGTCAGCTGCTGTTGTTGGGGCTGCTGGTAAACTGGAAGATGGAAGGGACAGGACTCAGAAAGGGTCTTGCCAAGCCCATTGCCCTTTGAAACCAAAGGCATGAATTTTCAACCCCAACCCAGCCTTGCTCAGCAGCACCCCCACAAAAGCTTACAGCTAAGCGTGCACATTCCTTAGTGTCTTGGACTTTCAGGAGGGCTGTACACTCCTCGTACTGGATCTACTTTTCCCGACGGATCCACCCACACCCTTAGCAGGGATGGGAATGTGATTCTGGGGAACAGTCCTACACGCATGGATGCCTCTGTCTGTGTGTGTGTGTGTGTGTGTGAGCGCCCCCCCCAGCCACTTTCTCACTGCCCCCCTCTCCTGACCTCAGGGACCCCTCTTGCACTCCCCAGCTCCCAGGCTAGCACTCACCCGGGGCACTGGTCGGGATGTGGTGAGGCTGTGGCTGTTGCTGCTCTGGTGGCCTCCGGTAGCTGCTGCTGTCCTGGGGTTCTCGGCGCTCTGGCTCCACACCTTCACCTCCACTGGGCCCCATGCGGCTCTTCTCAAATTCCTCATGGTATTTGATCTGCAGTGCGGAAGGGATGAACGGGTGAAGGGCTTCATTGCAAGCCAGTCTTCTCCCATTGCCACCCAAGCTGGGGACGGTGCCTATCATCCTAGTCACTGAGGCAGGAGGGAGGAGCTGGGAACTCAAGGCCAGCCTGAGCAACATAGTGAGACCCTTACACACACACACACACACACACACACACTGTGAGACTCCTGGAGAGCTACAGAAAGACGGAGTACCAGCTGTCTAAGTAACCATGACAAGCCTCAGCTAAACCTTTCTTTTCTTTTCTTTTTTTGGAGACAAGGTCTTACCACATAGACCAGGCTGCCCTTGAACTCCACAGGGTTCACCTGCTTCCTGGCTTAATTAACCTCCTTAAAAATGGACCATTGGATGTGTATGCTATGAGTTACTACAGGGTACAATGAGATAACAGCCGTGCCAGCCTGGCTATGTATCTTGGGGGCTGGTTCTATGGCTCAGATGATAGAGGGCTTGGTCTAGTATAGTGCCCACAAAGTTGCACACTCTGCAGGAAATCAGGCATGGTATATACCTTTAATAGCAGCACTTGGGAGGTAGTGACAGGTACTTTGGAGTTTAGGCCAGCCAGGTCTACATAGCCAATTCCAGGCTGCATAGTGAGACCTTGTCTCAAAACAAGCAAACAAAAAAGTTCAATATCGTCCTTGACTACACAGAGAGAGCAAGAAGAGGAGGGAGGGGGCTGGAGAGATGACTCGAGGTTAAGAGCACTGACTGCTCTTCCAGAGGTCCTGAGTTCAGTTCCCAGCAACCACATGGTGGCTCACAACCATCTATAATGCCCTCTTCTGGTATGCAGATATACACGGAAGCAGAATGTTGTATATATAATAAATAAAATCCTAAAAAAAAAAAAAAAAAAAAAGAAGGGGAGGGAGGAGGGAGTACATGGTAGGAGCTGAACCTTTCTAGCTCCCACTACGGTCAATCCTAACCACCACAGCCACTCCTGTTAATTGGCCCTTCCTATGGCCAGGCCCTGTGACACATGCTCAGTTACTATCACAGGCTGCTCATTTTATAGGATCAGCAGGTGACACAATGACTGTGCCAGCCCCTGGGTTCCCTTGAGTGACATTAGTACATCCTCACAAAGTACATACTACTTTAATAATGACACAGAAACATCACTGTACAAATTCAGAATATATACTGTAAATGCACAAGAAAAAACAGAAGCATCAGACAAGAGGTTGTAGGTGTCCTTCCACACCCTCTCGGGACACATCCTCACCTTGAAGAGCCTCAGTAAAGTCTACTCCCGGCTCTCCCACAGAGGAAACTGGTAGGGAAATGAAGCAAGGGGGCAGGAGAAGGTCTGGGTTTGGGTAGAAGGAATGAGGTGGAGACGAGCTGAACAGCTGCTCGCCAACCCTGGGAGAACAGTACTGTGACTGTCCCATCCTAGAGAGGCTTCAGCCCCTGCCTAGGAGGGCTGTTTCTTGCTTGTTGACAGGACCCTGTCTTGCCCCTCCCTAAGCCTGGAGAATGGCAGTGTAGGGAAGGAGTCTGGGAGCTAGGCAAAGCCTGCTTGTTTTCTTAGAAAAGAAAGAAGCCTGGCTCTGGGAGTCCTGGTGGGGGTTTGACTATCCACTCCCCACACTCTCTCTCTGCTGCCCCCCCCACACACACACATACCCTTAGCATTCTTTGTGCACTGTTTGCAGAAGGCAGGGAGCTGTGGCCAACTGGGAACACCTGGGTCACTACTACTGGCTAAATAATGGTTATTACTGTAGTACAGGCTGACAGGCAGCAGCTGGCATGGGGATGGAGTGTGGGAGGACTGTCATCTAAAAGCAGACAGCTGCTCACTCTCAGAGTTTGGAACTAAGACCTCTCCCTTACTCTGTCATTTCCCATGAAGAGACACACATTCAAATGGTAAAACAGTCTGGGGTAAGGCTCTAGCTGGACTCAAACTCCAGAGTGAACCCCTAATACCACCTGAAGGGCACCCACAGACACAGGGTAAAGGGGGACCTCTCCAGTTCCTTGGGGACCCTGCTCCATAGCCAATAACCAAGAAAGAAAGTGAGGAAGAGGAGGGAACAGCTCTGCATCTAGCCCTGGGTTCCAGCAGAGCCAGGTGACCCTGAATGACAGACCCTCCCTGAGTGGGCTCTGTATTACCAATGGGGTGAAAGGGAGCTTTAGAAATGCATGTGGGGTCCGCAGCTCCTACTCCACAATAAGGGCCCCATCGCTGTGCTCTAGGATCACGGGCTACTAGGCCCCGCCCACAACTCACCCTTGAAGGACAGACATTTCCTAACACCTCAGTGTCCTCATCCATATTGAGGCCATGGCACCACCTATTGTCATGTCGTCCTGAGGATGCCCATTCGTTCCTAAGGCAGGTGTGCGAACTTGTATTTACACATTAGCTTCACCCACCATACTCCTCAGAAGTCACTTCATGCAGCCAGGCATGGTGACATTTACTTACAAACCTAGCACTCAGGCGGCGGTGGTGGCACACTCCTTTAATCCCAGCACACTGCAGGCAGAGACAGGCAGATCTCTGTGAGGCCAGCCTGGTCTACACAGCAAGTTCTAGGACAGCTAGAGAGCTACACAGGGATTCCCTGTCTTGAAAAAGCAAAACAAATAAACAAACAAACAGAAAATATTGACAGCCTTAACATCTACACAGCTCTTCACACCAAGGCCATAAAAGCATCCCACACATTATCCCCGATACTGATAATAGTCACCCTAAACTATAAGCAGGGGAGCTGGCTTTCAAGTTATCCTCTGACCTCCACAACACACATACTAAGGAAGTGATAATCCGAGATGGATGCACACATTCATTCCCATTTCCCAGAGGAGGGACGGGAGGGAAGAAAGGCTTGCAGACCTCTATGCTGGAACATAGATTTTACTGGGACAGCGGACAAAGTCCCAGGTAGACAGACAGACCTTTGCCTGAGAACAAGTGAAGGCAGAGTGACTAAACACCTAGTTGCCATTCTATCTTTTTCTGTCCCAACATTGAGTGGACTTCTATCCCCCTCAAAATGGGGGATAATCATAGGATCACCCTCTCCTGGGGACCCAGATATGCAAACAAGGGGAAGCATGGGGCAAATGGCTGGAAATGAGGCCCCGCTCACGCTGGCCACTGCCCTCCACTTCCTCCCCAGCAAAACAGGGAAGCTGTGTGATTACTCCTGGCCCACCTAGCAGTTTCTTAAGCAAACAGGCAAAGCAACGTCCTCCAGAGGGTCCTGCCGATCATGGCTCACACGTGACTCAGACCTTTTTATTAATTTATGTGTTTTATCTGCACATGTCTGTCTGTGTACCACATACTTGGTGCCTTCAGAGGTCAGAAGAGGGCATTGGATCCCCTGGAACTGGAATTACAGCTGGGTATGAGCCAGCGTGTGGGTGCTAGGAACCGAAATAGGTTCTCTGCAAGAGCAGTAAGCACTCCCCAAAGTTCTGACCTTTTTTGTTTGTTTTTGCTTTTAACCCTGGTTATACTGGAACTCACTCCATTGATCAGGCTGGCCTCAAACTGAGAAACAGCCCAAATGAGGACAGGCAGGGTCCAGGGTCTCCATGGCAGGAAGCCAGGCCTCTGTACCATAAGGTCTCTCTGCATGTGGGTTCAGTGACTGGGACCGAAGGACCCTTATTGGCAGGCCTTTGGTGTGGCTGGGTAGGGGCCCCTCCGAGGCTGGGTGGCTGATGTTCTGCTTTCTGAAGCACCTGCTTCCCAACTGCGGTGGGAAAAAGTCTGACTGGCCATATGTCTGTCCCCACATGACGCTGCATCATGGCTTAGGCAGTAACATCAGACTTTAAATGGAATAACCAGCTTGCTCTTATAAGCCTGCCCTTTTTTGGGGAGAGAAGGGGAGTGAAATCCAACTTTGTGCCCTAATATATTACTCTTTTCCTCACCCAGCCCAAGAATAACATTTCATTATTGTTCCCATTTCACAGATGGGAAAAACAAGTCTAAAGAGGTTAAACAGACTATAACAGAATCTACTACTTACTAACATAAGAGCCTTAGTTCTCAAACACCATGTAATATGGCTTCCTATCAGAGATTCATGTCTCACCCCACCTTAGATGGGGTTTCTCTGTGTAGCCCTGGCTACCCTGGACCTTGCTGTAGACCAGGCTAGACTGGAACTCAGAGACCCTGTGTCTGTCTCCTGAGTGCTGGGATTAAAGGGATTCGCCACCACCACCTGGCTTTTTTTCTTTCTCTTTAAGTGGCACTGAAGATCAGGTCCAAGACCTCATGCATGAAAGGCAAGTGTTCTAACATGGCTAGACACTCCCAGTCCTTGATTTGCACAGTGAGAAAATAACTGTTTACTGTACCTGTTATAGTGTGATTCGGTTTGCAAGGGGAAAAAAAATGGGGCTGGAGGTATAGACATGTGAACAAGAGAAAGCAATGCTCCCACAAAAGGCTTCAGCAAAAGCCATTTCTCATTCACTGAAGTCCTCAATGAGGGCTGGAGAGATGGCTCATCAGTTAAGAGTATTGGCTGCTCTTCCAGAGGTCTCGGGTTCAATTTCCAGCACCCACATGGCAGCTCACAACTGTCTGTAGCTCCAAGATCTGACACTCTCACACAGGCAAAACACCAATGCTCATAAAATAAGAATAAATTATTTTAAAAAATAAACAAAAAGTCCTTAGCAATTTACAGCAAACATGCATGTGAACTTAAAGCTTTTGCCCCCACAGCACAGTCCAGGGCACGCCTCCAGTGAAGCCAGAATTATAAGAGATATGCAATTCCCTCCCTCCCCACCTCTTCCCTAGAGATGGACCTCATGGCCTCACACATGCTAAGTCCACGTTCTGCCACTCAGCTGCACCCTCGGGCCCTTGGCATCCCATCTGTTCTCACAGTGTAGAGAGACCAGCTCTGAACACCACTGACAATGCTCATCACTGACCACATACTCGGCTTTTCCCTTGCAGTCACATGACTACTCTAACTTCAGAGAGCAGTAACTGAAGCTCAGAGCAGCCCGGCAGCTGTGGGACAGAAAGACAGGAGCCCCCATTCCATTCCAGCCAGCATGCCTGTGTCTCTCTCACCCTCTTGCTTTACACAGGGCTGGGGACAGACCGCACATCTCCAAGCAAACATCGCCATCCCAGGAGAATAGGCTCTTGGTTTTCAACTGCTCTGGCTGGCGAAGCCAGGCTCCATCTCTATAGGACAGTGTGGCCTTCAGAAACGGCCACCTGTCATTAGGTGCTAATCTAGGAAGGGACAGACCACACACAGGGATGCTATTTTGGAACCAAAATACAGTGTGGCTCTGAACAGCTTCTCAGAGCTATGCTGGAGGTTGGCACAACTTAGCCACAGTTCTGCCTGTGGTTTAAAATTCCCTCAAAGTTCTGGGACACAGCCAGGTCTGGTGTCCTCTGACAGGGGCTGGCGAAACCTTTTGAGTTTAAGTGATAACTTTCACTCAGTACAGACCACAGTAAGCCAGGGGATGAGTTTACAATGCTGAATCTCGGGCTCCAGTCCAGGGGTGTCAACCTGGAATGCTGGGCGAACAGAGGGCATTTTCACTAAATGTCCTATGATCGCAGGGGACCCTTTGTGTGTATATGGGGGAAACTGAATCCACGGGTCCTTATGCATGCTAAGCACTCTACCACTGAGGTATAGCCCAGCTGACCTGGAGAGGGGAGGGGGGAAAGGCTCTGACAAAGATAGACTTTAATCACATTCATTAAAACCAGGGGAAAGACTTCCAGCATTCAGTCGCACTTCAGAGCTCCCAGCTCAGGCTCCATCTGGTTGCTCTGGAAGCCCAGGTCAGGTTCAGGGCACCTCCTCCAACTCAAAAATAGGACAATCAGCTAATTGCAGCCCCATGGTGGCTGATGAGATGCTATCTCTAGTGTGGATTTCTTGGACACAGCCAGTTTTTGGTACCAGAACTCCTCAGGCATTAATGTGTCCAATGTTCAATAACAGGGTGCAGAAAGGCAGGTGAAACAGACTGGGTGTCAGAACATTCTGGAAAACTTCCAGAAAGTGACATGGGGATGACTAGGGCTTGCTGGTCTCCAAACTCACAGGGTAAATCAATGAATGAATGACCCAGAGGATGGCACACTGGTGGTGTCTCAGGACACAAAGTCACATGATTGGAGCTCTGTGAGCCATTCCATGGTTTCCCAATCACCCAAGGTCACACCACTTCCCTTCTCTCCATCTAGGGAGCTCTCTGACACACCCTTTTACCCTCTGTGTGGTCTGAGCCAGAAAGGAAACTCCAGGGTGTGTGAGTCAGGCCCAGGCTGGAAGAGGGCAACTGTAAGAAAGTTTCCTGGGGGCCCGACAGGGTTTGAAGCTTCTGAGGATCACCTTCCAGCCCAGGAGAAGCAGTGCATTCCCTCAGGCCGTTCATCTTAAACTTCAGTGCAACGACTGTGTTGCAAAACCCACTTGGTCAGACTATCCCTGGCTCTTTTTATGAAAGAACAGAAAATATCTGAATGAGCTCTCCAAGTCCAAAGCACGTATTCACGACAGTGGTTTCCTTCTTTCCTCCTCTGGGCCCGGTGCATGCTGGGTGAATGCTCCACTGGGAAACTACATCCTTAGTCCTCCTCCAAGAAATTTTCTTTGTCTCACACAGGGGCTCATTATAGAGCCCAGAATGGCTTCAACCTCTTGATCTTTGCCTCAACCTCCAGAATCCATGACTCTCCTGCCTCAGACTCCTAAGAGCAGGCATGTACCACTGAAGAAAGAAAATGTTTCTTCTAGACAGAGGGCAGAATTTGAAAGCTATTCCCCTGGGCAGGGGTGGTTCTATCCCCGACCCCTTTCATGGAATCTACCTGACCCTCCACTATAACTCACCAGGGGCATAGCCCAACTCGCTTATGAGAGTGGAAGGACACTGAGGGACCTGGAACCTGGAGGGTGGGGACGTAGGTAGGCCATCTGAATCTGGATCCTATCCACCCAATCCCTAGTCCCTCAGCCCAGAGTGACATAGGCAACTGGTGGGTCCTTTCCTGTTACAGACACGAGGACAGTGCCTGCCTCACCCTTCATTTACAGGAGTCTTGTTGCAGCTGATAGGGCATGTTCTAACGCTCTGTGCTCAGGTGTGCACCCATGTTCTGTGATGTCTACTCCCACATATTCCAAATCAGGCCCCTGCAAGCCCAAAGACACACAAGCTATGGCTGTGCAAAGAAGGAAACTGAGGCCTGTCCTCTAGCCCCAGCTTCTCTGAAAGACCACACAGAGACTGTCACTTCACCACCCACTCCTCACGCCTACCCATCTAACAGCCAGACACCCAACACCCAACAGACACCGATGGCCAGCCCCAGCTCCGGCCTGAGAAGGCCTGGAGGCAGGGTAGGGTCGGCGGGCAACGCCAGCTGGGTTTTCACACAGGAAGGAAGAGCAAGCTGAGGTGGGAGGTTGGTGAGGGAGAGCGGAAATGACTACAGTGTTAGCACCCAGAGGCAGACAGGAGGCTCAAACCACCCCCCCACCCCAGCCCCAGCTTTGACCCTGGTGCTAAAACAAGCATCTAATCTGCACCCTGCCCCCCCCACCATGCCTGGGGGGAGAGGGGGCTACTCTAGAGAGTGGAAGGTAACTTAACATCCCCATGCATATAACACTCTGGACCAGCCTTAGGAGTGGTCCAGGACCTCTAGGTTCCTCTCTCTCTCTCTCTCTCTCTCTCTCTCTCCCTCCCTCCCTCCATCCCTCCCTCCCTCCACACACACACTCTAAAAGGGCAGTCTCTTTAAGGAGGAAATACCACTTGGGCAGAATGCCTAGCAAAGAGGGGAACAAAGAAAGGGCACTTGGGAACCTCAGCTTCTCCCTTCCCTCCATTCAAGCCACTGCCACACAGCAGGCCCTCCTGAGGAACCAAAGCAGGGCTGCTAGGGAGCGGATAAGAGAGGAGGGCAGAGGGTAGCTTGGGTAACAGCGGGCAGGAGCTCACATTGCTGATCTGGTCCTGGGTCTTCTTGATTCTCTGCAGCTCGGGTGTGTCTGCCACCACGCTGAAGCCTTTACCCTTGTTCTTCTCAAACTCTTCCTTGTAGCGCACCTGGAGGCCAAGAGGGAAGAGGAGAGCCTGGGGTCAGGTGGAATGTGAGGACAGGCATGCCTAGCCCGAGGCCCCTGGCCAGAAACCCCCAACACAAAGCCGAAGCCTGAGCCGGAAAGCGTCAGAGCAATCATAACCCCATTAATAACCACACAGAAGGTTCTGAGGGGAGACCACACATTGAATGCCCATAAAGAGATGGGCAACACCTTGGGGCTAGAGTGATGGCTCAGTAATTATGAGTACTAGCTGTTCTTCCAGAGAACTGCAGTGAACACTTAAACGCCCCCCCCCCAAAAATAAAGATGGAGGCACTTCTGCTCAAAGTCTTGACATCAGAACATGCTGACACCAGAAAATAGCATCAGCTGGGCATGGTGGTCCGAGCCTTTAATCCCAGCACTTGGGAGGCAGAGGCAGGCAGATCTCTGTGAGTTCAAGGCCAGCTTGGTCCACACAGTGAGCTCCAGGACAGTCAGGGCTACATAAAGGGAGACCCTATCTCAAAAAAAAAAAAGAAAGAAAGAAAAGAAAAAGTCCCAGAAGCTAGTGCCTGGGTGTAATCAGTAAAGCCTTGGAACCAGGGGCCTGCAGCAGCCAGAAGCAGTGACCAGAGTCTACAAAGATGAACTTCAGGCAGCTCACACTCTGGTCTCCAATGTACCTCAATGGACACGAGCCATGAACTCTAGTGACAAGGGACCCTTTCTAATGAATGGATTTCCCACCAGGATCCTGTGCCTTAGCCTAGCTATAACCTTGGTGACCGTTGAGTGTTAGGCATCCTGGTTAACCTGGTTAAGCATAGCTGAGGACATGAGCAGCTAGCTTTCACCCACTGTCCTTTCCCTGGTGGTGGACAGGCTAGCCTGCTGTGCACTGTACTTACAAACTGCTTATGCCAACTCTACCCACTGTGAGTGGGTACCCAGACATCCATGGCATCAATTTAGAGATAGATTGTTAGATTCAGATTCATCTGCTGTGAGTTATTTTCACTTTCCCTAAAGTGGACAATAAACCATACATTCAAAAGCAACAGCAGATTGCCTCTCTGTGACATGTAACCCGGGTCCAATTCCTAGCACCCAGGTGGCAACTCACAACCACCTGTAACTCCAGCTCCAGGGCGTCCAAGGCTCTCTTCTACTCTCTGAGAGTATGGGGCACACACATGCTATAAAACATGCAGGCCAAACCCCATACACATAAAATAATACCCTTTTGTTTGTTTTTTTCGAAACAGGGTTTCTCTGTGTAGCCCTGGCAGTCCTCAAACTCAGAGATCTGCCTCCCTCTGCCTCCAGAGAGCTGGAACTAAAGGTGCACCCCACCAACGTCCACCAATACTTTTTTTTCTTTTTTAAATAAAAAAGATCACTGCTGCCTGAGATTACATGGTTTAGCAGCAAATGTCTTGAGGCTCCAGGATAACAGACTCCCACCACTCCCCCCCCTTGCCTACAGCTATAAGAAAGTCCTTGCCAAATCTGAGGATTCAGCAGCCGGCATGCCAGCCAGAACCCGGCAGGACCCACCTAGAGAGTGGGGGCGTTTTTAAGCAACCAGCTGAACAGGGGCCGTGCCAAAGGACAAAAGTGCTGTCCAGGAGAGCGGTAACCCCATCACTGAGCCTTTGACAAGCCAGAACAGCTTCCTGGAGCCTGCCAAGCTGGAGACAATAACTACAGGAGAGGGAGAGGGCTACACAGGCAGAACCTCAGAACAGAGGTCTGAGCCCCGGGGGAAGCCCCACCACTCTATGGAAAACTAGAGGCACTCAGGATACACTAGAGAAAGGACTTCCCAGGCACTAAAGGAACTGCAATCTGAGGAACAGCTTGTCCTTCTCTGGGGATTTTAGAAACCAGAACAGAGGCTGGGAAATATTTGCAGGGTAGAGAACTGTTTCTTGGCTTTGGATGTCCACTTTCTACCTCAGTCTCTGTTCCAGGCCGCACCAGCTGCCTGGATTTCCTCTACAGTGGCTGCACTATCCTGAAATGGGTCAGCCCAGGACACAGGGGCCAGGATGTTGGGAGTTTCCAGGAAGGCCAGGCAGCTCCCAGGCCTGGAGTCATTGGTCACACATTAAGCTAACACACTGAGGACTCACAGCTTGTGAGATCTGTCAGGTCCTCCATGGTCAGGATCGCCATTTAGGTGGATCCTCCCTCCATTGATGCAGATAAAAAGAAAGGCCTAAACCGGTTTGATAGCTCAGGCCTGTAATCCAGCATTCAATGGGCTAGATTAGGCTATAGCTACACAGCAAGACCAAAAAGATCTGGCAGTTTGAATGCAGGTGGTTCATGTGACACCTGGTTCATGGGTCTGGGCCCCTGAAGCTATAGGAGAAAAGTTTAGGCCCAGGCCACCCAGAGGGATGGTAGATGGATGCCTAACATCTACCCTCCTAGGAAGGCCTGAAACAGCACATGACTATTAGAAGGCCCTTCAGGAAGGAGACACCAAGAAAGAGAAGAAAAATTGAGACTGCAGAAACCCAGAAAGGTCCTTGCATGCCTTAGATTCCTGTAAAAAGAGCCATCACAAACATTAGTTAAAACATGGGAAAAGCCAAGGATGGTAATACACGCCTATAATCACTATGCTCACAAGGTAGAGGAATGTAGGAGTTTAAAGACAATCTGTGGTTGTGTGTGTGTGTGTGTGTGTGTGTGTGTGTGTGTGGTGCTGGGCATGGTGATGCATGCCGGTAATATGACTAGAGGCAGAGGCAGGAAGATCATGAGTTTGAGGCCAGTGCAGTTTATACAATGAGATCAGATTCTCTCTCCTTCATGTCAAAAGATAGGAAATTTCATGTCACTGAAGCCTCAGGTTCCACGTCTGTAAAATGGGAAATCAAAGGTGGCGCCAGTGCTGAGGCAGAAGTGCTGTGTTGCACACCACATGAGGGCAACTGTGGAAGGGCCTTGTCAACGCCAACGTGCTGAACCAATGCCAAGCCCGCTCCGCCTGTTTCCTGGCTCTGCTGGGGTCAGGCCCCTAATCCAGGGAACAATTACCATGGCAACACTGCAATGACATCAACTGGTTCCCAGGCTTAGGAACTGCCTTTCCTCCTCACTGGAAGGATCATCCATTTCACCCTAACGTGGGAGGCACAGAAGGTAGGATAGGAGGAGGCAGGGAAGCCTGGGTGCCACACAATATGGTTACAGGTCCCAAGGCAAGCCAGGTCCCATCTTTTTTATTTATTTTTATTTTATGTGCATTGGTGTTTTGCTATGGGTATCATGTCTCCAGGTACTGGAATTACAGACAGTTGTGAGCTGCCATGTGGGTGCTGAGAATTGAACCTGGGTCCTTTGGATGAGCAGCCAGTGGTCTTAACTGCTGAGCCAGCTCCCCAGCCCACCAGGTCCCCTCGTGAGGTTGGGGTGCAGGAAGGAAAGCTGGCTAGCTAGTCTCTAAAGTTCCACTCACCTGGAGTCTATGACCTTATCTAAGCATCTTTTGGCTTTAACAGAATAGTGGTGAAGGAAGTTCTTAGAGCTTTTTATTACTAACAGGAGTAGCTGGTAGGCCCTCACTGAGACTTTCCCTTCACCCATGCAAGAGTGCTTGCATTGGTCTGGATGACTCACCAGCTATGACAGGGTAGCGGTGAGGACAAAGCCTGCCAGGTCACTCAACCCAGTTGTCAGTTTGGCTACAACAGAGCCAGATGACTCCATCCCTGCACGGTGCTGCCAGGGCCTCCCTCTCTGGAAATTCCCACAACAGCATAGAGCATGACGCCCAGGCAGCCAGGATCCAGGTAGGTTTAGTTACCCTCTCATTTATCCCAGCTGAGAGCTGGAACATACCATTCCTACTCATTGTAATGCAATGGCCTCCTTCTGGTGTTAGACCCACACTGTGTAACCCATTTCCTTCCAACTGGATTTTACATCAGACCCACAGATGTGAACGCTACTGAAAGATCGGAGCTGGGAGTGAGGGGTCACAGTCATTCCATCCATTTCCTCTCCATTCACAGAGAACAGCAAAAGGAAACATTTATCAAGCCCTGGCAACACGCCAACAATGGCAAACACCTAACACATACTAACATTCCTACAGCCAACCCGGGGGGAGATGATCCCCACTTGATACTTGGAGGCCCCGAGGCAGGGTGGTTAAGTAACTAGTCCCAAGCCACAGTTAGTGGTAGTAATCTAAGATTCAACCTTAGGCTGCTGGCTCTGGTAAAAATGAGATAAGGTCTCAGTATATATTCTAGGCTTGCCAGTCCTGAGTGTGAGCACCTCCAGGCCTGGCTCAAACTTATTAACAGAGCATTTTTAAAAGACATGTACATGTATGCGTGCGTGCGTGCGTGCGTATCTGTGCCCAGCACTACCTCAGATGCTTCCTCAGGGATATACCCTCCTTTGAGAGGGGGCTTCTCATAGGCCTGGAGCTCACCAATCAGGGCACAGCTCCAGGAATCTTCTGGTCTGTGCCTCCCCACTGAAGGATTATAAACAGGAACTACTCTGGCATTTTTTCACTGGAGGGGGTAAGAACTTTACCACTGGCACTTTCTCCCTAGTCCTTTTAGTTCATGGTTACAGATAGGTGCTACTAAACTTAGTAAGAGTGACACTCTTCAGTGTGTGCTGCTGTCGTGCTGGTCATGGGATCCAAGACACGAGTGGCGGAGAGGCACTGTACACTTCCCTCGCCTCAAGGGCATTTCCTGAAACACTCCATGAAGGTGACAATAAAGAAAAAACAGAGACACTCCCAGCACTCCTGCCTGGGACAAGGCCTGGACTCCAGTCACACACATCCTCTCCTCAGCCCCATCCCATATAGTGGGGTACAAGTGAGAAGAGGGGTCTGGGGCAACTGCCAGCTCTGACAGCACCAATCAGAGTGTCATTTCTGGGCAGTTCAGCGGTTGGGAAGGTCATAGATATTCCAAACACCCAAAGTGCCACTTTGGGAACCAATATAGCAGCAAGAAAACAAAGCTGAAATGGCCCAGGCAACTCCCCAAAAGAAAAAGAACCCATACATGAAGCCAGGCCAGGAAGGAGACAGCCCTGGAAGGAGCCAGCCCTGGAAGGAGCCCATGACACCCTGCTGGGGTGCGGCAGGGAAGGGGGAGAAGGCTCCCACTTTTCTTCCAGCCAGCCACACAAAGCTCTAACTAGCCCTACCCCCACAGCAGCCACAGACCTATCACCAGGCCAGCCATGCAGGCCTGTCATTAGGCCCTGCCCCCAGCTTCTAGGCAAATGGATCTCTGTCCCTATTTCACTTCTCATAGAGGAGGAAAAAAAACTATGAAGGGGGGAGGGCGGAGCCTCAGACCGAACAGATGGTAGGACGTGGGAGAGACACACACTGCAAAGGGGAGCAGGTTCTTTCTGCGTCATCCCCCAGGTCCCCAGGTCCAGGAATGGAGCTGTGTCCCCAGTGCAGAAGGTCAACTCCCATCCTGTTGACTGACAGGGATCCTCCAAAGCTCTACCTGGCTCCCACCTACTCGAAGCCTCCAAAGCGCATAACCAGTAATCCCAACCCTTAGGAGGCTCAGACTGAAGGATTAGCGGGGTTTGAGGCCAACCTGGGTTAACGGCCTGTGAGCTGGGTGCCATGGGTGGTCAGTCTCATAGAACAGCTCCAGCAGCACACTCTTGAGGCCCAACCAGCTAAGCTCAAAGCCTGCCTGCCTTGGAGCCCTGGGCAAGTGGTGTTGAGAGACTGGGAGTTAGATTCCCCAGTAGGCAGACAGAGAGGGAGATGGGGACGTGGCAAGATAATAAAAATGTATCAGCGTGGCTTCCCCAAACCTCAGGGACCCCCTCCTACATACCTGGAACAATCCCTTCTTAGGCTAGGAGCAGCGGCTCACACCTAATATCTCAGCACCTAGGAGGCTGAGGCAGGAGAATTCCAGACCAGCCAAGGATAGCCTGAGATCCTGGCTTGGGAAAAAGGGGAAGAAAAAAAAAAACACAACACCAAAGAGGGAGCACCCCCCCAACCCCAACACACCACCAAAGAGACTCTTCCCTTTTGGACAACATGGCTGTGAAGACTGATGTACACAGACACACAGATGTGCAGGGCCTGTCCCTTACTAAGAACCTGCAAGAATGATTGCTGTTCCTACTTACCCCACCTACTGGAGCCCCTGATAGTCTAGGAACCTCCAAATCTGTGTGTGGGGAGCAGAACAGCCCTCCCAACAACAACTCCAGTCCTAGTGCTCATGCACAAAGGCAGGGGTTGGGAAGGGCAGAGCTGGCTGGTTCCTGATATCGGCCCCACCCCATAGGGGTCAGATTCCAGAAGCAAAAGGAGCTGAGGGTGAGTTCTCATGGGCTGGAAAGGGCAAGGGTATTGAATTTCTCCTTAGAGTAGGATATAGAAAGGAAAAAAGTTCTCTTGCCTTAATCAGGCACCTGGACTTCTGATGGCTCTTTTTGCCTGGCCTGCTAGAGGCAGTGGGAGTCTAAGCTCTGCCACTTCCCTGGAAAGGCTAAGGGACAAGTGTCTGCCGGCACTGTGGAACACACTGGAAGGCTACACATACGCAAGGCACCACACTGTGAGAGTGAATGTAAAGGCCAGAGCTCAGATCCTACAACCTGGCTCAATGTGGCCTAGAACTCTGAGACACTTTCCACACAGGGACAGGAAGGAGCTATTTTCCACCTACCCCTGGAGTTGCATCAAGGACAAGAAAGGAGAAGTAACTACATCACTTGTTAGGTTTCACGAGTTCTCAGCAGCAGGAACTATTTTGTGTAGGTTTCTTTTTTTCCTTCCTTTTTTAGGTTTTTTTTGAAACCGATTTCTCTGTAGCTTTGGAGACCAAGCTGGCCTTGAACTCACAGAGATCCACCTGTCTCGGTCTCTCAAGTGCTGGGACCAAAGGCATGCACCACCACCTCTACCGGAGTCTTTTGTGTTTTTTAAGATGGGAAAGACTGTTCCCTTCAGGTAGTAGATAGATAGAAAACCCATAAAGTTGCCAGGTATGGAGCAACCTACAATCCCAGCACTTGGGAGATAGAGACAGGAGAATGAGGAGTTCAATGTCACTATTTTTTCTCCTAAGATTTTTAAAATTTATTCATTTTTATTTTATGTGCTTTGGTGTTTTGCCATGGGTGTCAGGTCCCCTGGAACTGGAGTTACAGACAGTTGTGAGCTGCCATGTGAGTGCTGGGAATTGAACCGTGGGTCCATCTGGAAGAGCAGCCAGTGTTCTTAACCATTGAGCCATCTCTCCAGGCCTCTCCTCCTAAGATTTTTGTTGTTTTTACTTTTGTTTTTTTTCAAGACAGTGTTTCTCTGGAACTCATGGAAATCTGCCTGCCTCTTCAACTAAAGGAGTGTGCCACCACCACCTGGCTAAGATTTTCTTTTTTAACATTCAATTACATGTAGGTGTATGTGTCTCCATGTGGCTTTATGCGTGTGAACGCAGATGTCTCTGGAGGCCAGACGCTTCAGATCCCAGAGAGCTGGAGTTACAAAGGTTGTAATGATGTGGATTCTGAGCTGTCTTTCCAGCCCTCAGGGCAATATTTTAGAAGAGCTACGTGACATGTGACATTATCATCTCAAAACAACAACCAAAACAAACAACAACAACAAAAACCACCCAAAACAGTCCTGCAAGGGACGCCTCACTTCTCCTGGATGAGGAGTGAGTCCTTGTGGCCCAGCTGGCCCCACCCTGGGCACCATGCCAACCCAGTAAATTCCCTTACTTGTATTCTCTCATTTAATCTTTTAATCCTTGCTGAGGCAGGCCAGGCTGGTTCAAGGCAGAGTTCCTTAATAAGGTCTCAAGGCTCCAGACCACCTAGCTCAGCGTAGCTCAGTATCCCTGAAGGACAGTGTTTTCTGAGCCAGGGCAGACAATGTCTGATGTCTCCTTCTCTACTGTGGGAGCCTGTGCCACTCAGGAGAGTCAGGCTAAAGAGACGGGAGGACGGGCCCCCTCACACTGCCCTCTCTCCAAGGGGAGCAAAAGGTCTCAGGACATAGTTACAGAAGACAGGCTGTGAGACCCCGACTGGCAAGGTGCTAGCTGGCTCCCAGTCCTTCCGTGCCAGGTGCAACGGAGTGGCAGGCAGGGGACAGCCTCCTGGAGAAGGCAGGCTCTTGGAGCCCCAGCAGAGGCGAACAGATGCCCACACCTCTCCAACCAACTCCAGGTAGGAAGGCAGTATCTCTCCCCATCCCCACCAGGTCAGGAAGTGTGAGGTAACTGAGGAAAGGTGGGGGAGGGGAGACAGCCAAGCCTGGGATTTCAGCATCTCAGGCCTCAGAGACCACAGGTGCCCTTGCCCAACCCGCTACACAGGCCCTTCCCCTTCCACCAGCCACAGAGTGCCCGCCCCTCACCTGACTCTGCAGCTCACTCTGTTGCTTGAGGCGGAGGTTTTCCGGAGTGTCAGCCACCATGGTGAAGGACTGCTTGGGGTAGTGTCTGCAGGACAGAAAGGAGATCGGGCATCACTCTGGGGAATGGTGGGAAACCCTGGGCTTCTCTACCGTTGGACAGCCCCTGCCCACTTGTCAGTGCTGAAGAGAATCAGGAACCTCCCAGGCACAGCTTAGGCTAGCTGAGGAGTCAAGACACAGCAGGCCTGAGTGACTGACTGCCTGGCAGACAGACTGTCCAAGGCCACAGGGAGGCTTCTGAAGGTTTCCGATTACCCTTGTTTCAGATAATCCAAGCCTTGGAGTCTCCCCAGAGAGGATCCCAGGGCCAGGCCACCCAGGAGGACCTAGTCAGCTGTGCAGATGGGCACAAAAATCAGAACTGAGACTAGCAATTGAGACCAAGCACACAGGAGCATGAAGGACCCAGATACCCAGAAGGTTCCCTATCAAAAGTCATAAACTGGTATGCTAAGACAATATGTGAGTCAGGTGGTGGTGGCGCACACCTTTAATCCCAGCACTCAGGAGGCAGAGGCAGGCGGATCTCTGAGTCCGAGGCCAGTCAGCTCTACACAGGAAGTTCCAGGTCAGCCAGAGCTACACAGAGAAATTCTGTCTTGACAACCAGAGAGAGAGAGACAGAGAGAGAGAGACAGAGAGACTGGGAGAGATATGTGTCCAAGAAGGTGTTTCAAGGGGCTAGCAAGGTCCAAGTACAGGGTAGGTGGGTGATGCTTGTGGCTAGTCACCTTCCAGTGACAGGTAAAAGCAGTTAGCACTGTCCTGTGACTGAGTTTATCAAACTTGCTTGTTACCTTCTGTAGTGTTGTCACTGTCCTCCTTTGATAGACAGAGCAGAGCAGAGGCTAGAGAAGTTGAACAGTATAAACACACAGAAAGAAGTCAGAATTCTGACCCCTAGAAAACTGTGCCTTGGGTGGCCGGCAAGGACCTGAAGGATAACATCCTCACTGACAGAGAGGTACTAGCATTTGTCACTCAGCAGTCCCTGAGTCCACGAGGGGAGAAAACAGTTGTTTTTTGATCACTTGTCTATTGATTTATCCAAGCTTCCAGAACAGCGGTTGAAGCACAACCAACACTTCGATAAACAAACATCACACTGGATGTTGAAATTGGGCTAGGACAGGAGAACTCTTCCACAACCTCCTGTGTCACATGTCACCTCAGGTAAACCAGCCATGGTCTGGGTCTAGTGCTGGAATAAGCAATAGGAAGGGTTCACATGGACCTCACCCATCTCAGGGACAGTGAGTGGCTTCTCCAAGCAAGAACTGTACTGAAAACAGTCTGACGTGGCTCTGGGTGACTGCACCCATCACAGCTGTGACCAGTGGAGAACCCCTGACTCACAGGCAGCCAAACACCAAGTAAGAGAACAGAGATGGCCCATGAGGGCCTTCTTCTAGGTATGAGCGGCCCAGGCTGGTCAACATGTCCACAGCAGGTCATGAACCGCCACTTGGTGTGGCTAGAAGGGACACAGTGATGGGCTGTTTCTAGGTGACCATCTTCACCCCGTGGCTGATGCCACTGTCTTAGGCCTATGTGGGTTCTGGCCATCCCAGTTGGCCACATAAAGAGCTCCCCCAGTAAAAGCGGGGAGCTAGATGGGAAAAGCAAACACAGGTGCCCGCAGCTGGCAGCAGGAATGGCTGTGGATGAAGGCAGGCAAAGGCAAGGTCCCACCCCCAGGTCTGGCCCAGTGCCCTGCAGCCAGGCCACCCACAGCTCAGGAGCCCATCCAAAAATTCCTGCTCCTGTTTGGGGCCGGGGAGGATCAAGCAGGACTCTGTTCCTAGAGACAAGAAATGAACAGAAGGAATGAAGTGAGATGTTTAGGAAAACTGGCTGGTCCTGGGACCCTGGGAGACAGGCTTCAGAAAGGGCCCACCACACAAACGAGGCCCACTCTGCAAGGGAAATGGGACACAAATTAGGGTGAGCCGGGCATCTGACAGTAGAGATGCACACAACAGAAGTAGGGGACACAGGATCCAGGCAGCTCTGGCCAGGTGTGGAGGGTCAAGTGTGATAACCATCTGGCATTATGTTAGACAGGGTGGAGGCAGCCTGGAGAGCAGAAGGCAGGGACTGAACAAGCGCACATCCACAGAAGCATCCACACACCCTGGGGCTTGTTCTCATCTGGCCGTGTGTACAGACTTAAAGCACAAAGCCATCTCCATTGGCCCAGGGATAGCCAGACTCGTGCAGACAGTCACACCCTCTCTAGTTCTGCAGCTCCTGCAGAATACTCACAGCATTTGCCTGTGTGTGACTAACAGATAGGTATGTCCTCCAAATTGGCAAGCATTTCCGGCCCGGAGCTGGCAGCTATGGCCCCTCCACATTCACACACCTCCCCCACCCACCTGTCCTCTGCTACACCGTCTACCCCACCAGAAGATCCCAGGAGCCCCTCCAACACGGACCAAATGCTTCACTTCAGATGGGATTGGGGGTACTTCATCATCTCTTTGTAGCCATCACCATCTTCTCCACCCCCCAGGGAAGGAATATTAAATGGGGGAGGGAGCCTAGATGTGGACTCCGGAGAGCTGGGGATGGGGACGGACTTTAATATTCTATCAGTTCTAGTAGATTAAGAAGCTCCAGACACGATGGAGTTGCTGCTACACCCAACCCCAGGCAGAGGAAGGGCTCCACAAGGACTGCATTCCTCCTGATGGGTCAGCCCAGTCCCCTCCCCACAGTCCCCAACCCTGGGCGAGACAACCCTGCCTTTCCCTTCTCCTGCTAGCTGATATGCTTCAGGTTCCCATGGCAACCTCATCCTCAGCTCCAGGCAGGAGAGCAGAGAAAGGGAGAGGGGAAGGAGGGAGAGGTCTAGGGGGTAGGGGGGCAGGGGAAGACAGACTGCAAGAGTATCCTTAACCAAGAAGATGCCCAAGGGGCCTGAGCTGGTTTCTTGTAGACAGCTGTGCTCAGGTTTGTTTCTAGAAGGCAGGACTACCTGCCTTCTAGAAAGTCCCAGTGCCACACTCCTCCCCCAACACATTGGTCTCTGAGGAGGACTCTTCCAGAAACCACTGCTAGGAATTCTGCTTTTCTCCTCCCTCTTAGACCCTAGGTTGAAGCCACCTTTCACCTTCAGATTCAGGGGAGGGGTGGGGGCGGGGTGGCAGAAACACACCAGTATGGACTCTGAAACAGCTAAGACCACAAGACCACCCACCCCAGCCAGATCAGGCTACAGCAGAAACAAAATGAGAGATGGCATAAAGGTACAGAGGTAGTAGAGCTGAGGACACACAGCACTGCTGCTCTTTGTCCCTTCCCAGGATAGCCCCTTATTAATCATTCCCAGAGAGTGTGGTGCCTTCGATAGAGGTCTCTCTCTCCACAGACCTGTCTTTGCCTATGATAGCACTAGTGGGGAGAGCAGGGGGGTGGGAGGGGGCATAGATAGGCCAATAGGACAGGAAGCTGGGTGGGGAGGGACAAGGAAGCTACCTGGCATCTAGGAAGGTGGCGACAGGAAAAGCCTGTGGTAGCCAGAAGGTAGACAAGGAGCCAGGCAGCTGCTGCAGGAGGGGGGTGACACACAGACACCACAGGCTCATAGCTCACAACTCCTTCACAGGCTGTCTGGTGTACAGCCTCTCCCCAAATACCCGACAAGGCTGGAAAAGGCAGGCATCAGCTGGATACCAATTTTGCATACAGAGAAACTGAGGCTTGGAGTCAAGGATAGAGACTTTGATTGCACACTGTCCTCTGCCCCACATCTGCCTGGCCAGCTGAGGGCATGAAGACCTGTTAGGGCAGAAGGCCCTAGTCCAGCTGCAGCTCCCAGAGTTCTTTGAAAAGCATAATTGGCAGGGTGACAGCCAAATAAAGTGTCTCATGCTTCAAGCCCATTTCTCAGTCTGACCTTTGAAACCCTTGAGAGGACAATTACCTAAGGGATCAAGAGATGTGGCCTCCATCTCAGGCAATGAGCTACCCAGCTGAGGACCTAAGCCACACTGTTCCGTGGTGGGAAGAGAAGATCCTGTGAAGCCAATCCTAGATGACAAGAGAATGTGGAGGACCTGTATCCAGAGGCTGAACAAGGGCAGACCACAGATTTTGAATGCTCAGCTCCCCATTTTTGCAGAGAACATCATCCCTTCCATACTGGGACCTCTTTTAAAAAGGCACAGCTCTGTGTTCAAAGCAGAGTAAAAATACATCAGCAAAATACAAGGAACTTTTGGTTTTTAGCAAAAGGAAGGGGAGAAGAAAAAAAAAGCCCTAACATCCGGCCTCTGGTTAAGAGCTCTGGATCCCCAAAGCCCCTGCTGGGAACACTGCCCATAAGCAGGCAAGGAGCGGGGAAGGCTCCATTAGCCCTGATTCTTACCAGCCCCCCTCCAGGCCTCCAGGACTAAAGTGTTAGGGATAGGAAGAAAACAAGGAGGCATTGTTTGAGCAGAGGGTCAAAAATGAGCAATCCAAAAGAATAGGGGTAGACTAGAGAAAGAACTTACCAGCCTTTAGGCTTTGCAGACAAAATGAAAAGCTGCATCCTTTTAAGTCTTTTGTTTTGTTTTCATTCACTAACAACTTTAAACAATGTCCACACTTTTTCCCTGTGGGCAATATTTAAAGAGAAAAATTTTGCCCAGCTAAGTAAGGCATGGAAGTATTAGGCCTCAAATTCCTTATCAATACAAATGGGATTTTGGAAGAGAAAGTGACCCCCAAGCTCCTTGAGGCCCTGACATATCTACATTTAAGGCTATGGGGGTAAAGAAGGCAGGTGGCTGCATTTGACACTCTGGCTCCCAGTTTTTGCTGGCCTCCTTCATCCCAAATATCACACACACACACACACACACACACACACACACACACACACACACACACACACACACACATACACCCCATGCTGCTCCCAGCTCCTTAACACATTTGATTCAATTTTCCCAGTAAGAAGCAGAGAATAAGCCTTTAATCCCAGCACTCGGGAGGCAGAGGTAGGCGGGTCTCTGAGTTCGAGGCCAGCCTGGTCTCCAGAGTGAGTGCCAGTATAGGCTCCAAAGCTACACAGAGAAACCCTGTCTGGGGGTGGGGGGGCAGATAATGTGGGGGAATTAGGCAAATGCCCCCACCCCAGGACTGTGGCAAGGCCAACCAGATACATACATAGCAAAACCTATCTCAAAACAAACCAGCCTGTGGCTAGAGGTAGCTGGGGTGTAGAATGCTTGGCCTAGCTAGCATGCATACAGCCCTAGATTCAAGCTCTAGCCATGAATAAGCCAGGCACACTGGTACAAACCTGTCATGTCAGCACTTGGAGGTGGAGGCAGGAGGATCAGAAGTCTAAGGCCAGGCAAAGAAGCAGATAGCTCAGCTCTATAAGCCTGACAACATGAGTTCAAACTTCCGGAACCCACAGTGGAAAGAGAGAAACCACTCGTGAAAGCCATCCATGGACCTCTACGTGAATGCACTGACATGTGATCACCAGCCCAAGCAAACCTACCTCTCTTTCTCTCCCCCTTCACACATATGCAAACTTTCTTAAATTCAAGGTCATTCTTGGCTACACAGTGAGCCTGGGCTATCTGAGACTTTGTTTCACAAACACTGGGATTGGGATCAGGATGCTAGAATAGACTGACTGAACCCTAATCCCAGTTTAGACCCTGGAAATGGATAGAATCACAGTCCCAGCAGGAAGGACATCTCCAGTCTTCTCAACTCAGCCCCTCACCCCACAGTTCAGGAAAACTGAATCAGGAACCCAGGTATCTGCTGTCACTGTGATGGGGAAAAGTTCTACTGAGGTCTCTCTTCCTTCCCCAGATGGTTCCTCTAGTCTACAGTGGGCCTCCTGTCTGCAAGTCCCCAAGGCAATTAGTCCCCATCACCACCCCAACCTCAGCCCTGACCTCCACTCTGACTGTTTGCATGGACCCAGTGAAACAAGTTTGCAGGATTCCAATGATGACAATCCAATTTACAAAACAAATAATCCAGGGCATAAATATTTCTCTAGCTAACAAAGCAGGCCCACTCCACCCACCTGGAAGCTACATGTAAGAATAGGTGAGCAGGCGTGCTTGGGCTGCTGCACAGATAGGCATGTGCCCCACCCCCCATCCCACCCCAGTGAAGAGCTGACCATAATGAATCTACAGGAATCTCAGTGGGAGCCCAGTGGGTGCCCAGGGAAGGGTATGAGGCCACTCAGGACAGTGTGTAATTGCATGCCTGTCGCTCACCACACCAGGCAGGCTGGCTCTGAGTACTAGCTTGTGTTCATGCCCCTGCCTCCTCCTTAAACATGTCGTTGCAAGGAGAGAAACAGAAGTCCTTTTCACTGTTGAGTCACTTTCTAGAACTTTGGAAAGACAGAAGGGACACTTGGCTTTCTTCTCTCATTTCTTCGTCCACATGAGCCTAAACTGCCCCCAGTCTCAGACACTAGTTAGGATCAGGCAGCACACAGAAATTCCCTGCACACCAGACTCACCCCACACTCCCCCCACACTCCCTGGGTGGCCTAGAGCCCTGGCAAAGTGCCAGGAGATGTCACCTGGCCCTATATGTCTCACCCTAGTCGGGCTTAGTCCAGTGGAGGGGAGCAGCACCCTGTAGAAAGGTGTCTAGCCTGCGGCCCACAAGTACAACCAGGACTGGAAGGAATCTAGAGTGCAGGAGGGAACTACTCCCCAGAAGCCCCAAGAACCTGAATGTCACTGAAAATAGGTTCAGAGACAGCTGGAAATGGGAGAGAATAAAGGGACTATTTGACACAGGGCCTAGCACACAGCAGGTCTAGGGTAGGGGAAACCCAAGCAGTTGCAGATGCCACCTATCTGCATTTGACTGGGGACAAGAAACTCAGCAGACAGCTCCACAGACACAAAGCCAGCAGGGAGCAGCAGCCAAGAGGCTGATGCAGCTGGAATGAAATGAAGCATACACACACACACACACACACACACACACACACACACACACACGAATGCATGCACATGCACACATGTATGCCAACACACATAACCCAGTGCAGGTCCTTCCCAGCAAACACCCACTGGACCAGAGGTCAAAGGTCACCCATATAGAGCTGAAGTTAGGGGGGAGACATCAACCTGTTCCCCTAGCAGAATGTCAGGAGGGGGATAGAACTGGTGACTCGCCAAGCCACTTCTCCAAGGACCCCAAAGTCTCCAGGCTCTCCCCTCTCCCATTCACTGCCTGTCTTCCCCCCAAAAAGACAAAGCTAGGACTCTGACACCAGGGTTAAGGGCATTCTGATAGAAAACATTCTCTCTCCAAATTCCAGCACTCACTGTTAGCAGGTAAGCTGGCCGGAGAAGAAGAAAGCAAAGTGTTATCACCCTGGTCTACCTGGCGCTCAGCCAGACTTCTGCCAGGAAGTGGAGGCCCACCCAGAAGATGCTCCAAATGAGGCTAGCAGAACAGCCTGAAGCAGTCCAGCAGCCAAAGAGTTAAGTGCCCTGGTTTTTCTGAACCCCACCCCACTCCCCAAAGGAGGGAGGAAGTGGCAGAGAATCGGAGTTTGTGTGAGCCCTTAAGAATTCAAAGAATGTCCCATTTCCCTTGGGGCTGGGAGGGCTGGGGGGCTGGGTAGGCCAAGGAGCCATAGAAATCAGAACGAAAGGACCAAAAAAACTGTGGGCCTTCCTCTACTCAAAGCCACCATGGGCTGGCCCTTTAGAAGGAACAATGGTCATGCTGCCTCTTGGGCTTGAGATTTTATCAGAAATCAGGTTCCCAGCACCTGAGATAGGTTGGCATATAGCAGAGAGCTGGCAACAAGTATCTGGCAAATGTTCAAACCCCCAAGGTCCTTGGGCCAAGGAGATAGGGGCATGATAGCCTGTCCGAAAAGAGAAAAGTCTCCAGTTTCCCTTCTGGTAAACTTTGGCTAAGAAGAATTAAATTAGGAGACCAGCTGGTCATGTCGAAGCATGTTTATAAATCCACACATCTGGAGGCGAAGGCAAGAAGATCAGAAGTTTGAGGTTATCTATCTTCGGCTATACTAGCCTGGAATAGATGAGACAAACAAGCAAAGATACCTAGACTTCATCAGATCATAAGCGTAACTGATCTTGCCACCTACTGTTGAGGAACTTGACCACCTTGCAAATGGCCCAAGGTCAGTGGCTGCACCTGCTCTGGACCTAATGCTGAGGTGGTACTTGCTACTCATGAGTCCCCTGCAATGTCAACCCTCTCTGAAGCTGCTGGTGACTCACCTCCTGGATGGTGTCCCTCTAGGGTGGGAGACAATGGTCTCTCTCCCCAAACCCTGCATCCAGCTGGCCACAACAAAAGATTCTATACAAGGAACAGAACTCAAGGCTAGCAACCCTCAGAATAATGGGCAGTGTCTCTGGTCTCCCTGCAAGGCAGAAAAGGAGCTGCCTATACCAGGCCACACCCTTCTCCTTCTCAATATATGAAAAGGAGGTTAAAGAGTGGTTAAGAGCACGGGCTGCTTTTGCAGAGGACCTGGGTTCAGTCTGCAGCACCCACATACAGGCTCACAACCACCTATAACTCCAGTTCCAGGGGATCTGATGCACTTGTCTGGTCTCCATGGATACCACACCACACAAGTGATACCCATACATATATGTAGGTAAAACATTCATATACATAAAGAAATGAATGAACAAGTCTTTTTTGTTTTGTATTCGCAAAAGAGAGAGAGAGAAAGAAACAAGAGGTCTCTGGAATGTTCTAGAAGGGACAATGGAGAAAAGAACCACCAAGTGAGAGAAAACCAAGGGGAGGAGAATCACACTCCCAAGCCTGGATACCATGCAGCAGGGACAGGACAGGTCTCTTAATCCCTGCTGTGCACCTGCAAAAGTGCCCAACAGGGTACAGGGGAAGTAGCCCACTGGCTACTTACTACCCAGAGGCTGTCTGTGAAGAAGCCTCACATCAGCCTTGCCATGTGATCCTGAGAAAGTTCCCTCCCTCCTCATGCCTGTTTTCTCATCTGTAAAATGGGGACAGTAAGAGCACTCTGCTATGAGGGATGTGATCACAATCTACCAAGTAAGGTGTGTTAAGTGCTACAGTGTCACCTTGGGCCATCAGGGGAAAGGAGAACTTGGGAGAGAAGCCCGGTGCCCCGAAAAGCCCTGTGTCCCCCTGAGACTCACGCATTGCAGTAGGGCTTCTTCTCATAGCCCTTGTAGTTCTTCATGTTCAGGGTCATCTTGCAGGTCTCGCAGTGAAAGCATGCTTTGTGCCAGAACTGGATGGGGACAGAGGGAAGACATGATTAAAACACAGGACTTCCCTAGGCATGGGCACACAAGCTCTCCAACTAGGTCTCATGCCCAAGGCTTAGAACACCTAGGGAAGCTGGGTGGTGGTGTCAGCGCACGACTTTAATCCCAGCTCTCAGGAGGCAGAGGCAGGTGGATCTCTAAATCTGAGGCCAGCCTGCTCTACAGAGCAAGCTCCAAGACAGCCAGAGCTGTTACACAGAGAATCCCTGTCTTAAACAACAAACAAACAACAACAACAACAACAAAAATCCACCACCTGGTGAACAGGGGCATTTCAGGTCACAGGCTCCGGCAGCCAATGACACTCCTCTCCCCTCGTCATGCCCCATGAGGCAATTATTCAGCTGACAGGACAGAGAGTAGATCAGATTCAAGAGAGTAAAGGGGGGAAACCCAGTCATGAAGAAGGTAGCAGCCCCTAGAAAGGCTGTCTCCACTTCCCCAGACCACTCCAGCCCAGAATTGGATAGGCCTCATTGATTATGCAAAGCGGCACTCCGTTGCTAAGCAGCACACTGGGAAGGAGCAAGTCCTCTGCCACCAAGCCGGCAGAAGAGAGCCCAGCCAGTGGCACAAAGGCCCAGACTAAGGCACACCTATACTCCCTCTAACCAGCTGACCCCCTTGAGCTCCCCACCCCTTGATGGGAGCCCTTCTAACTCACGAAGTGGCTCTCACTTCCCAAAGAACCCCATTAGAGGAGCCGTTCATGCCCCAGCCACACCCATATCCCGTCCCGTCCCACCTCTCCCACCCCCACCTGGATAAGGGTTGGAGACACCCAGCAGAAGCAGAAAAGAGCTTTGTTTTAAAGGCCTGCAGCTAGACTCCAGGTGTGTCCCCATCACAACCCCACCCAGAGAGCTGGATGACCTTGGCATCACCCTGTCCACAGTGCACCTGGGAATCTGATTCTACTTCCTGTCTACATACTGCATACATAACGCCTAGCCTAGTTAAGGGATTCATGAGAAACCACCTGCCCCCAGCAAAGCACCTGACACCTGCAGCTTCTGTGCAGGTGCTGGACACTGAAGGCATTCACGAAGCCCAACCTGAGCTCCAACTTGGGTACTTGGGACAGAGGAGCAACCCAGGGTTTTAAAACAGAGCCATCAGGACTAAGCCAGGGTGGTTGAATGAATGGAGGGAAGGAGAAACCACGTGAAGTGACTCCATCCCAGAATCTAGGCTGACTGGACATCTGTGTCAGCAGTCAATGGAGACACTCCTGACCCCCAAAGGAGGTAGCCAGAGGCCAGGGAGGGGCCAGGGAGGCAGACCTCAGAAAGTGCCTGAGTGAGCTGTGGGACTGACTTCTTCTGTCAAAGAAGTCCCCTAAAGTGGTGCTTTTTAAAACATGTGTCCCAAACTAAGAGCTTCAGACACACTTGGGGGAGGGGCCAGAAGAAAGGAAGTTCAGTCACTGGGACCCCACCCCTAACCCTCAGCACATTTCAACCAGACCAGGGCTATTTCTGGGGGCAACCGCCCTCTAATGGGACATTTTTCCTATCAAGGAGACCCAAAGGGGAAAAAAAAAATCTAACAGGGAATGTTAACAAGGCGACTCGAGAAAGATTCTTTGGGAAGAAAGCCAGCTATAAGTCTAGAAGCAAAGGGTAGGTCAGTCTGAGCTTGGCCCTGCCCCCACCTGAGCCCATCCTAAAGCCACTGCCTCCACCCCCACCCACGGTAACTTTCAGAATCCTTACTGCTCGGGGGTGTCATATAACCCCAACACAAAAGCCCCAGAAAAGTCAAAACAGGGTGGTCCTTCTCCTGTAGATTCCCCTAACTGGGAGGCATTGGCAGATTGCCCCAGCACTGTCACCAGCCAGTCTGCGGCCTCTGCCTGTATGCCCCTGCCTGGGCCCCTGCCTCCCCCACCCCCGCAGGGGCCTGCCAGGAAAAACATTCTGCAGAATCCAGACCATGACCCACTTTCACACATATGCAGAAATACACTGTCCTAGGGCTAGGGACCTCCAAGGTCGCCTCCTAACAGATTCTGGATCAGGAAAAAGATCTCTACCAGATGGCCAGGTCCCCCACCCTAGAGCCAAGCCCTGTGGAGGAAGAGCTGGTAGAATATTCAGACTAGCATCTGGATGCTCCCACAGGATACTCCAGGCTGCCCCCCAAGAGTTAGGTCCCACTTCCAGGTAACCCCTAGAGATCATCCGATGGGGTCCAATGTTCTCAACTTGATACAGTCTGGGACAAGGGAGAATGGTCATCTGCCTTTGGGGGTGGGGAGTGCTGCTGCTCAGGAGTAGAATAATGGAAACCAGAATCGGTTGAGGATCTGCTGGGTGACTCACCAAGGGAGGTCTCCACATCTGTAAAGTAGGGCCACAACTATTATCTCCCCCAGGGACTGTGGGAGAACCAGAAGGCCACTTCTTGGGGATAGCAGGAAATGGTAACTCATTCAGTAGTGCTTGTGAACTCCAGAAGGAGAGAAACTTCATCCTAGAAAACAGTACTATCCCAAGAGGGCCTGCCTTCTTCCACTGGTTCTAGGAGCTTAGGTTCACAGCAAGAGCGGCCCTGTTTGCCAGGTCCAGGGCAGACTTTGGACAGGCACTCCTGGGATTTGTGACTGAGGAAGCAAACCACACCTGGAGACAAGCAGCTCAAAAGGTGTCTCCAGTCACAAGCCAAGCTGTGATGCAGCTCAGTCAGACCCCAGGCACCAGAGGTCACCCACCCTTCCTGTCCTGTCTGAAATGCTGTGTGGGAAAGTGACTCTACAGAAAGACAAACAGGACAGAAGTCCCTGCAAGGATCCCACTCACTGAAGCCAGATTCTGTGGTTCCATGGCTCTAGGGGAGAGAGTGGAGTTTCATTCAGGTTCAAGTACCTGCAGCCTGTCACCTGCTCCCTAGGGTGACAGTGACTCAGGGCTGGAGTATTAGACTCCTCCCTTCCTGTAGCCTAGAGTTAGGCTTTGTCCCTCCTTTAGAGTCAACACTAGCACCCAGCACCACCCAGCCTAACTCAGGGCCTCTGGTTTATAAACTCAGTGCACTTTCACAATTTCTTTCTAGTAACCTGAAGCTCCCAGAGCTACAGCCCTCAGGATTCTAGGTCCAGACAGGATGAGGAAGGGTAGGACCCACTCTCCCCTCCCCGAGTTTCACTATGTAGCTCTCTGCCTGGCCTGGAAATGCATTGTGTAGTCCAGACTACTGGCCTCAAACTCAGAGATCCTCCTGACTCTGCCTCCCAAATGCTGGGATTAAAGGTGTGCACTACCATGCTGCCTGAGTGGGACCCACTTTTGGAAAAAGAGACAGTGTAAATAAAAATATGATTTTACAAATATACCAGCAGATGACCTAAACAGCCAGAACTTTGGGAGCTAGTGAGGTAGCTATGTTGGTAAAGGGATCGCCTAGCAGGCACAAAGACAAACTCCTGTGTTCAAGTTTAAAACTCAGCCCTGTAAGAACTGGGTGTGGTGGCAGAACTCATCCATCATTCCAACACTTGGGGGTGGAGGCAAGAGGAGGACTGGGAGTTCAAGGACAGCCTGGGCCACAGGAAACAGTCTTTTTTTTTTTTTTTGGTTTTTCGAGACAGGGTTTCTCTGTGGCTTTGGAGGTTGCCCTGGAACTAGCTCTTGTAGACCAGGCTGGTCTCAAACTCACAGAGATCCACCTGCCTCTGCCTCCTGAGTGCTGGGATTAAAGGCATGCACCACCACCACCCGGCTGGTGAAAAGTTTTTGAGGTGAATGTGCCAAATATCACTGAATCACTTGATTTTTTTTTTGGTTTTTTTTTGGTTTTTTTTCGAGACAGAATTTCTCTGTATTGCTTTGGAGGTTGTCCTGGAACTCACGCTGTAGACCAGGCTGGCCTCGAACTCAGAGATCTGCCTGCCTCTGCCTCTGGAGTGTTGGGATTAAACGTGTGCACCACCAACTTCCTGCTGACAAAGGTGGAGGGGAAACTTTGCAAGTCATAGTGACTTATGACTATAATCTCAGCACTTAGGAAGCTGAAGTAGGACTGAGAGGAAAAAAAAGATCAAACTTTAGCTAAAAGGAGAGACAGCCTATCCATTAGCCTCCTCTGGGTGGGTAAGGCCACAGGGAACGTGGCCCAACAAAAAAATGGTAAGCTTACTTAAGATATTAGAAGAATTTTTTTTTTCAATTCAAGCAACTTGATAGTCTATTTCTCTATAGAGAACTTTGTAGACGACAAGGTCATATCCCAACGTCAAAAGGTTGGACACACTTGCTAATAGGGCTCATAGCTTATAGGAGCTATCTTCCTGGAACCCCATCCCGGTTTGTGAGGCTTCACAGGCCAGTAGACTTCAATAAGTAGTACCTAGTATGAATGGCTGGTCGTGAAGCGATCACAAAGTGTTCTAAACTTTTAACAACAATAAACCATGGTGGTGGGGGCTAAAACAGCAGCTCAGTGGTTAAGAGCTAGGGCCAGATCTTCCAGAGGACCCTGGTTCAATTCCCAAAACCCACATGGTGGGTCTCAGTATTTTGTTAGTTCTAGTCCAAGCCAATCTTCTGGCTTCTTCAGACACCAGGCACACACATGGTGCACAGACATTTATGCAGACAAACATCCATACACATAAAACAAACAACAACAAAAATGTTTTCACAGCCACATGGACTTTGTTCTTCTGAGGAAAGAGGGGTACACTCAGACAGCCATTTGGGGCAGGAGACCCTCTCTAATGGGACATTCCAAAGCAACTGTCAGTGAGGCCAATCCCCTAGCCTTCTTGACTGTCCCCACCTGTTTTTAGAAGCCAAGTGAGAAAGATGTGACAGAGTCTCAGCAGTTTAGGTCACTAGATACAAAGTAGGTGTTCAATAAATATTTGTTAAATGAATGAGGTCACCCTGGCTCTCCTTCCTGCTCCAACTCCAGAAACCCTCTAGGGAAACAAAGCACAACCTCCTTCAAACACATCATCAGCACTATCTATTTATCCAGCATGCAGAGCACACTGGTACTACGAACCGGGGACAGAGTGGCCTTCATTGGTGACAAGGTTTACCCCACTTATGCCTTTGAGACGTAAGGCCCAGGAAGGAGAAAAGACTGCACATCGAGGACACAGCTTATGCGCTAGCCATGCTGCAGGCTGCATGCCATGGGGGACTGCAGTAAATCAGGCCAGTCTGCCTTGATTCTCCCTGGCTGTCAAGCGGAATTGGGAAGTTGGGTAGCAACCATGCCTATAGGACTGAATTTTCCCCATACCCAGGTCTCTGCTCAGCATTCTCCAGGGCTCCAGTTACAACTATCTGTTCTTATTGCCTGTAGGGCACGGAAGGCAGAGGAGACAGGACAGCAGGATTTTCCAGTCCCTGTGGGGGGGGGGGGGGGGGAGTGGCAGGTGTCTCTCAAGCGCCACTTCCGCTAGGGGGCGTCCTAAAACTAGGAAGGAATCACCCACTCCCACTTCCCAGGGCAACCCCAACTTGAATTATCTTCTAGCTAGGGCAGGGATTATCACATAGGATCCCTGCCCCCATCTCTGTGACACACAGCACTGAAGGTCTTTACAAGGAGAGCGGTTGGAGTGCTGGGCAGAAAAGAGGAGACTACAGCCTTGACCACACTCCCTGCACCGTCCACCTCTGAGGCAATGACACTGTCAATACACATCTGGTGACAGGGAATACTCAAGCCCAGAACTATTCATAAAGCTGATGGACATAGACCTAGAACTAGAACTAAGTCTCCCACTTGCCAGGCTAGCAATCCTTTCATCATTCATTGCCTCTCCCCATTCAGTACCAAGGACCATAAGAGGAGCCCACTTGATGGCCTAGGGAACTGCTAATGCAGGGGTCAAAACACTTGACCAGGAATAGCAAAGACCTTCATGGAAGGACAGTTAACTTCTCGAGGTTTTTTGGGGCAGGCAGGGGTCTCCATCTAGGAGTATCAAGCTCAAGCCTTCCAGGGGCTAGGAGAGTGACTGAGCAAGTCAGCACCTTCCATAAGCTCCTCCTAGCCTCCTGTCTAGTCAAGCCGCCCCATGTCCCTTTCCTCCAGGAAAAAAAAAAAGTTCAAATGTTTCAGAACCTCGAGTTCCCACCTCCTGACCTGGACTCGGGGGTCAAAGGTACCTAAGAACGAACTAATCTTAGCCGGGAGAGGAGAGACAAAGTATCCAACAAAGTATCCATTTCCAACAAAACTAAATTCCCTCTTTCAGGCGCCGGCCTATCGCCTGTTCAGACATAAAGGTGGAAATAGGTAAACTCCGATTCAGTTTGGGGAGCTAGATACAATGTACCTATGAGGAGCCAAAACACAGAGGCGTCCCTGCAGAGAGGAACACAGAGAAGGGACAGGTTGTCTTGGGTTTTAGGAGGTTCACAGAAAGACAGGAGGGTCCCATCGCAAACTGTACCGGAAACACCCAGATTCACTCTTCAGTACCCGGCAACCAGATGAACGAGTCCTGCCTGGGCCGGGGATGTGTAAGAGCCCCTAGGGGACAGCTTATTTCCAGAAGGCTACCCTCTCCCTCCTCTAAAAAAAAAATTTCCCCTTTCCTTGGCTTTCCCAGAAGTCGGCCAATCCCACCCTCCATTGATGAAACCAGCTCTGAAAAGTTAGCTCTTTGTTCTCCAAGCTGGTCTCCAGGCTGAGCACAATTTCAGATCTCCGGGAAGCGTCTCCTCCAACCCTCCCCACCCTAGCACCCCACCCCGCCCAGCTCCTGCTGGGCTGCCCAGCACCCAGAGTGGCTTGCAATTTGAATTAAGGATTGGGAAAGCTATGGAGGTCTGCGGGTTCCCCAACCACGGAAACAGCAAGGAGTGGGGAGCAGTCCAGCAGGTCGTTCAAAAGGGGGGGTGTCTCAAAATGAGATTCCAGTGCTGCCTAAGCCCCTTTCACCACAATTGGCAATGAAGGACCCGA